AAACCCTTTGGACATCAAATCGGAATGCCTGCGGGCGGCGTGTCAGAGAGGTGACAAAGTGCAATTTGGGATGGTCTTGTTAGACCTCATCCCAGGATACTGTGATCCTGTGCTCTCACAGGATCACATGTTGACCCGAAGTGGTTTGATGAGGCTGAATACAAGAGAGAGACGCCAGCAGAGCAGGTGGCAGGATTACGGGCTATTCATGCCCGTGCCACCTTTTGGGTGGCTTAATCTTTATCAATCAGGTGACAAGTCTCAAAACCGAACAGGACATCGATGCAGGAGGCCAGGACAGGGAGTGGAGGCAGCGCAACCCGTCCTCTTAAAAATAACGTCACTTTTCGCTGGTATGCGCACTATGGCCAAATTTGGACGTAATTTGAAATGAAATCGACTCACAAAAGTGACGTTCTGTTCTATTTTCTATTTGAGTCGTCCGGCCTACGCGCAGAGGTTATAAGAGGACACTTTAAATTAACGTTTTTCATAACGTTTTGAAACTTTGAGAATTTCCTGCCCACCTAACCTATCAGAGGACCCTTAACTTACTGTTGTTGAAAAAAAAATCCCAAATTTATATTCATTTTTTTTTCATTTTCAAATTACGTCCAAATTCGGCCATACGGGCAAACGGCCAAAAGCGACGTTCTTTTTAAGAGGACAAGTTGAAGGTGTTGGTACAACATGTCCAGCCGGTTGGTACACTCACCCGCCCAGTGGCCGCCAACGTTCGTAGTAAATGCGTCGAGTTGGATTCTTGAGAAACACGCGAGTATGAGGGACTAACATTAAGTTAGGTCTCTGGAGATGAGAGCTTTAGAGATTAGTGATATTAGCATTTAAGATGTGACGAGCGTTGACTGGCGAGGATCGTGGTTTTTGACTCGTAGTGAAGTTGTGGGCGGATGAATATATTTGTGAACTATATTGTATATATATTGTTATAGCACGAATATAGTTGTTACTAAGCAGTCTCGTCTCTTTAGCTTCTCACATTGTGTTCCTGCCATCTGGGTAGCCTCTGTGTAAGAGGCTGGTGCAGGCAACTGAAAAATATTGGCGAAATTATGAATACATAACCGGTGATGATATAATGTGGCAATAGAGTGCTATAATGTGAAATATTTAATTACTGAACAGTGGAGTATTCAGCACCACAATATCCAACTTCAGTAAGGGCTCTTTTTACTTCATTTCTAGTAAACTTTAAGTGGTCCGAAGCCCCTTAAGGGGTGTGAGGTGCTCTCTCAGTGAAGACTTCTTTCAATCATTTGTGTTAGATTAAGTGTTACGTCCACTCCCAGGTCTCTTTCTCGAATCGTCACAGGCAGTAGTTTCCCTTCACTGTATACTGTCTCTTTGTTCTCCTGTCATCTAATCCCATTTCCATAACTTTACATTTGCTTGTGATGAACTCCCGGAGTCATTTCTCTGACCATCTCTGCAAGCTATATCTGTGTGTGCGTGCGTGCGCCTGTATGTGTTCGTGTGCTCTGCGCTCCAAATAACGGTGAGCAACATATGTGCAACACCTACCCAATAACCAGCCCTGAGGGCGCTACCAGTGCGAGGCAACAGAGTAATACAGAGGTAACGAGGACATTACAATATTAGTACGTAACTTCACCAGCGTGGCGTCCTTGTCCTGGGACAGGTACGACTGTTAATTAGTACGTCACCTGCAGCGACCTTCCTGGACACTACACCCTCACTACACTACCCCTGCACTAGACTACCCTTCACTACATTACCCCCCCCCTCACTACACTACCCCTGCACTACACTGCCCCCTCACTAGAGTACCCTTCACTACACTACCCCTGCACTACACTGCCCCTCACTAGACTACCCCCTCACTAGACTACCCCCTCACTAGACTACCCCCTCACTACACTACCCCTGCACTACACTACCCCCTGCACTACACTACCCCTGCACTACACTACCCCTGCACTACACTACCCCTGCACTACACTACCCCTGCACTACACTACCCCCTCACTACCCCCTACCCCCCCCTCACTACCCTACCCCCCCTCACACCCTACCCCCCCCCCTCACTACCCTACCCCCCTCACTACCCTACCCCCCTCACTACCCTACCACTACCCCCCCCCCTCACTACCCTACACCTACCACTACCCTACCCCCCCTCACTACCCTACCCCCCCCTCACTACCCCCCCCTCACTACCCCCCCCTCACTACCCTACCCCCCCCCCTCACTACACCCCCCTCACTACCCTACCCCCCCTCACTACCCTACCCCCCTCACTACCCCTCACCCCTCACTACACTACCCCCCCCTCACTACACTACCCCCCCCACCCCTACCCTACCCCCCCTCACTACCCTACCCCCCCTCACTACACTACCCCCCCTCACTATCCACTACCCCCCCTCACTACACTACCCCCCCCTCACTACACTACCCCCCTCACTACACTACCCCCCCCACTACACTACCCCCCCCTCACTACACTACCCCCCCCTCACTACACTACCCCCCCCTCACTACACTACCCCCCCCCCTCTACACTACCCCCCTCACTACCTACCCCCCTCACTACACTACCCCCCCCCTCACTACACTACCCCCCCTCACTATCCACTACCCCCCCCCACTACACTACCCCCCCCTCACTCCACTACCCCCCCCTCACTACCCTACCCCCCCCCCTCACTACCCTACCCCCCCCTCACTACACTACCCCCCCCCTCACTACACTACCCCCCCCTCACTACACTACCCCCCCCTCTACACTACCCCCCCTCACTACACTACCCCCCCCCTCACTACACTACCCCCCCTCACTACACTACCCCCCCTCACTACACTACCCCCCTCACACTACACTACTACCCCCCCCCCCTCACTACACTACCCCCCCCCTCACTACACTACCCCCCCCCTCACTACACTACTACCCCCCCCTCACACTACACTACCCCCCCCCCCCTCACTACACTACCCCCTCACTACACTACCCCCCCCCTCACTACACTACCCCCCCTCCTCACTACACTACACCCCCCCCTCACACTACACTACCCCCCCCCTCACTACACTACCCCCCCCTCACTACACTACCCCCCCCCCCCTCACTACACTACCCCCCCCTCACTACACTACCCCCCCCCTACACTACCCCCCCCCCCTCACTCCACTACCCCCCCCCCCTACACTACCCCCCCTCACTACACTACCCCCCCCTCACTACACTACCCCCCCTCACTACACTACACCCCCCCTCACTACACTACCCCCCTCACTACACTATCACCCTCACACTATCTCCCTCACACTATCTCCCTCACACTATCCCCCCTCCTACACTACCCCTCACACTACACTACTACCCCTAACTGCCCTCTCACTACACTAACCCTCACACTACACTAACCTCACACTACACTACCCGTCACTACTTTACCTTTAACTACACTAACCCCTCGTTTTTGTTGTTTTTTAGATTTAGCTGCTCAGAACAAAATGGCCATGTAGCACGGGCTATGGCGAGCCCGTCATTGAGTTCCGTTATATCGCGATAACCTTGTTACTCTGATATTTGGGTCAATATTTTAAATGGAGGTGGGGTTTCCTGCTTTTTCCCTGTTTCTTTTTCGTTTCTGTTTTAGTCGTGTTTTAATAACATTATCTTGGTGGCTGATGTAGATGAATGTTCACTAGTGAGTCCTATTCTTTAACGGCTTTTCTACTCAATGTATTGGTTGTGGAATGTGAATCTAATGTAGCTGCTGTCGTTGGATTAATGTTAAGTTTGATGCGCAGGGCTTCAGTAGCTTTACATTCCAGTAAGTAGTGCAATAGTGGCGCCTCTGCTTCTGTTCCACATATGACACTTTTAACTACTGGGTTTATTACCGTTTATTACTACTGTTACCTAGTGGCTTATTCGTACCATATCGCAGTGGATCTTCTACACTAGTGTACTTAGGGAAGTACGCTATCTTCCGCTACTTTGGCTCTGTGGCGACTTTTGATAGTTGGGAGTATTTTCTTCTTGATTTGTTCCTTAATCTGTGAAAAACTTGGAGGTATTTGAACCTGTACAACAGGTAGAGCAGTGGCAGTTTTTGCTAGTGAGTCTGTCTTTTCTTTACCATCTATGCCAATGTGACTTGGTATCCAATTTAGGGTGATTGACAGCCCTAGATTATGGGCTTCTTTTCCAATATGTTGGATTTCTGCGAGGAGTTGTATATTATCTCCGTGTTCACTGGATAACAATGCCTGGAGCGAAGATTTAGAGTCGGTATGAATGATGACATCATGTAAATTCTTCTCAATTGTATAGTTAATACAGTTCAATTGTATAGTTCAGGGCATATAATTCTGTTTGCAATGTTGAGTACCCACTATTCATGCTCCAGTAAGCTTCATGGTTGTTAGTGTAAACTGCTGCCCCAGCAGAACCTCTTTCTTGATCAACTGATCCGTCTGTGAAGATGTGAGTCGTTGTCAGTCTTGAGATGGTTTTCATTTGTCGTTCTATGACTGCTTTAAGCTTCTGTGAGTCACATGTTGATTTTTTAACTGGTAATCCTTCAATGATTATCTTTCGACTCGATTCTTCCCATGGAGGAGGCTGCCGAAAGTGTTGATATGGTCTATCTTCTCCTTTGTTTATAATGGTCCATTTCAAGTCCACTTTCTATAGAATCTTTACTAGATTATCCGTCCATGCACGTGTTCTATATTGAAGGTTTCTCTGAAGACTAACCCCCTCACTACTCTTTCGACGTCATTTCGACAGGACGTCATTCCGGACACAGAGCTGGTACTAACCGCTCTGGAAGCAAGGTCAGTAATCTCACCAGACCAGAGTAGGTAGGACCTCGGCTGGCCAGATATATACCTTGTTGCCTTTAATCAATAAACTGCTGAAGGGAACTATTGTGTATCTCTACAACCAACCAAGCACCATACATCTAAGTTAAATACATCCCATCAAAGCTTATTAAAACTCATTCTAATTTTCCACTTAATTTTATTTTTACATCGAAAATTCCTCAAATATTGTTACTGTTTATTTTCTTTATTAATTCCTGCCCAGATATGTATCAGGACACTGTAATTGTAATATTATTGAACATAAACACTGATTATTAGTAGCACTGTTAATGATTGTGGTGGCAGCCCTGGTGGGTGGAGGGTGATGGTCTGGTGCCCCCCCCCCCCCTCGCCCCAGCACCATGGCTGAAGGAAGGGGTCCCACTTCGCCCCATCACCATGGCTGCCCCTAGAATAAGGAAGGTCGTCCATGTGGCAGCTCTTGGAGTTGTGGTGGTCACAGGACAGCTCAACTACACCTCTAAGTCCCGCAAGTGAGGCTAGTGAGGTCCCGTTCTCTACTTCTGGAGAGGTCGATTATGCCTTCTCTGCGGCAGGAGCTGCAGCAGGGGCCACCAAGGAGTAGCCGAATGGATAGCCGTAGTAACTGAAGGGATAGTGGTATCCAAACCCTGAGAGAAAGAACATATTAAGCTGACAACATATGCCGTGCATGAAGCAAGCTGTACATAGTCAGATTAAGCACCATTGAGTCTGGCCAGTAACTGGATGGGTGACTACAGAGAGCCTCGCCCTCGGCTAGGAAGATCTCGGTAAATCTAACTGTTTTGCTTACCCTGAAAATCGTATGCCAGTATACTTGGTCATCTTTCCCAGTGAAAAGGAAGGATGAACTTCATGACGGGTTGTGACTGGTGGTCACTGGTAATTACATCTTATGAGGAGCTTGTACGACACCAAGTTAGTGGTACAGGAGCTCCAGACATTCCCGAGGGCGTTTGGTACTTACCAGGGTACGAGTAGGTCAGCGGGACGGTGGCAGCGGGAGTGGCAGACTTGAACGTGTAGGTGCTGTAGGGGTATGTGAACGGGTAGTAGAGTAGCTGTGGGTCTGGTTGAGGTCCAGGCTGCGGGGAGGGCAGGGCGATGGCAGCCCCCACCAACACCAACATCAGCTGCCAACCATAACACACATTTACACACCAGTAACACACATGATAACAAGCAAGACACCCAACAACAATAACAACTCTCTAGTTCTGATGTTTACTGCAGTTCATTCCCGCCATATATTCCCCCAGTGAAACAATATCATTATTATAGATCGTATTCATTTTCCTCTCCAAGGGTTGTTAAGACAAGGAAGTTACTCCCTATAGATATTTCTCTGCATGGTATGAAGAACAAACCTCTAGAACCTATATTTTTCATTTAAATATTACGCCATCGTCATTTCATTGCGAGCTGAATGTGGCATAAGAGTGTGAACGCCATTACCGTAGGCCAGAGTGTGAGGGCTTGGCTGTAAAACCCTGGTTGGGCTCCGGGTCGGGACTTCCAGAACCTCCCAGAGAACGTAGTAGAGTTCTGGGTGTTTATAATTGCTAATATTTCTGAAACCATTTAACTTAGGCCTATCCCAACAATGCTATGTCCGTCGCGCACCCCAGACCATTTCCCCTTGCAAATTTTGGTGAGGTTAGCCCCATGCATCCAGCCTCCCACTTTGTGTCAGGCAGACAGACAAACATTCTCTTAGTGTTAGTTGTTGAGAGAAGATGGCGGCGGGAGGCAGCTTACCAGAGCCTTCATGATGAGTGTGTGGATAGCCTTGCACGAGTCGACTGACACTAGGCTACAAGCACAGCCTTATATACGCCACGACTCCCCCGCACGCTGCCTCCCTCATATGTATGCACTTACATAAAACATTTTATTTTGAAAATATCTTATAAATATTTAACAACTTATCATCATATACATTTTTTAAATTGCAAGGATTTTATACCGGAATAAACTGCGGTACAACATTTCTGTTTGGAATAACACAAAAATGTTTAC